TTAACGTTAGTTAAATCTTAAATAAAGTAACAAAATATTTTTAATGGAAAAGAGTAAGTAAGTATATATTTACTAGATTTAAATACATTAGTATAATCTCAAATTTCATAAGTAGTTACAAATACAGAACATGTCTATTTTTCATAAAAATAGAATTTTTGTATAAAAATATTTATAAATACAACTTTTCCATGCATAAGCTATCAATTTATACTTTATCAGATGATTTTAACGGATTGAAAACGATTTTTTTAAATGTTAATTTACTTATCTTGATAATTTTTGAAACGTTAGGGAGTAACTGGGGTGTCCAGACACCCCACACGTATTTTAACAGGAGATAAGAGTTCTTTCTAGAGCAAAACTTTTTGCGGCAATACAAGTTCCAACAATTAGACGTTCAAACTGAATTATCAATAGGGTTCGGTGAAAAAATTATTGGTTAAGCCAGGAGCGTACCTTGAATATTGCGTGGGGTGTCCAGACACCCCAGTTACTCCTTCTAGGGTTGAATTTACACTACCGTCCAAAAGTATCAGGACGATTACATTCGACTCTATGAAAAAACATGCTATCACTTTTTCAATCATATCTCGGAAATAAAAGGAGGTACAAAAAAAAATTAAATACGGTTAGAAAGCTAATTAAATTCTGCGTAAAATAAGCCGTCTTTGAAGTCATTTCGTTAATTATTTTTTAAGTTGTTGAGTGAGAAAGAAATAAAAAAAAATATCATATTTTCTCATTTTTGTCTCTTGACTTCAACTTTTTCAAAAATCTAAAAAAATTTAAATAAAATTTTTCTAGAAACACAGAAATCTTCGTTAGAATTTCAGCTTTAAAATAAGCCTTCGAAAATTAAAAAAGGTTAATCCGTCTTTGATGTTTAATTAAAAATGTAGAGCCGTGTTTCGACTGATTGGTGCATTGAAATTCAACAGTGACGACTCGATTGTGGCTTCGCGCGGCAGCGAATGAGAGAGAAAGCAGGGACGAATTAATGCGCGGAAACGATGAAATTTGGAGTTTCTTTATATTACTCGTGAAACATAATTATTTATTATTCTCCAGCAAAAATTCGTCCCTGTTTTCTCTCTCATTCGCTGCCGCGCGAAGCCAGAATCGAATCGTCACCGTTTAATTTCAATGCACCAATCGGTCGAAACACGGCTTCACATTTTTAATGATATATCGAAGACAGATTAACCTTTTTTGATTTTCGAAGGCTTATTTTAAAGCTGAAATTCTAACAAAGATTTATGTGTTTTTAGAAAAATTTTATCTAAATTTTTCTAGATTTTTGAAAAAGTTGAAGTCAAGAGACAAAAATGAGAAAATTTGATAATTTTTTTTATTTCTTTCTTACTCTACAACTTAAAAAAAATTAACGAAATGACTTCAAAGACGGCTTATTTTACGCAGAATTTAATCAGCTTTCTAACCGTATTTAATTTTTTTTTGTACCTCCTTTTATTTCCGAGATATGATTGAAAAAGTGATAGCATGTTTTTTCATAGAGTCGAATGTAATCGTCCTGACACTTTTGGACGGTAGTGTATGCAGAAACGCTGTTGTAAAATACAAAATTGAAAAGTAATGTAACGACAGGTGGCAGAAGCATATAAGCAGCGAACATACAGGCTAAGGCTTTGCTATCAAGATTCGAATTGCCAAAATTTGGTTGCAAACGAGAATTTTTAATTATTCTAAATGGACGAATTTACCTCAGAGTTCTATTCCACGGGAACCAACAAAATTTTAAAAAAACCTATTATTCCTAATTCCACGTGAAACAAATTTTCTATTAATTTATTATTTTATGAATCTTTAATCATTTAATTATATTATTTATGAAATTATTTAATTATAATATTTATGCAATTCAACCTTAATCAAAATAATGCTTTAAAACATATAATTAAAATCATATAAAGAAATATAATAATTTTATACGCAATAATCAAAATTAGATCATATCAATAAATCATGGACGTAAGAAATATAGGGACATGGCATATTGATGCGGGGGGATACTTTGCAGTCCGTAAGGGGAGGCGTTGGCGAATTGCTAATTGGTTAAGAAAATGTACGTGTTATACAGCAATTGGCGCCTGCGCATTAAGTCTACCAATAGGGAATCGACAAACGTAGCGTTTTCCCTTCTGATCTGCCAACGTACCCCCCTCGCCCATATTTTGACTTTGAGGCCTGTCCCTATATTTCTTATGTCCATGCAATAAATAGATAAAAATAAAAGTAATATTTAAGTTATATAGAACGTATTGTTTAGGCTTTGTAGAGAAAACAATAAAATTGACAATTAATAATTAACAATATTCATTTAGGACTTTATTTTACACATACAGTCAACTCTATGAATAGTGCCGCTATCAATAGTGCCACTTCTCTTTCTCGCTCGAGCTCTATCCCCACTTTAGCGACTCTAGCACGGCTTCTGAATTTCGAGTTTCCCCTAAGAGAGAAATATACAAATAGTGGGGGTACTACAGTTTCAAGAAAAGTCGTAAACGCTGTGCAATTTTGCGGCACTATTCATACACTGAAAAAAATACATGAGACATTTTCAACTACATCCCCTTAGTAGAGTAAAAAGTAATAAAACGAACTACTTTTTTAGTTAGTCTGGCTACTTTTAATACTTATTTTAACTGTTTTATGTGGTTAAAAATTATTAATTAAATTAATGTAATTTTACAGTTAACTTTGTAACTGCAGGTATGTTATAGAAATTACTACAGAAAGTAGTAGATTCTACTACTTAAAGTAATTTATGTTATAGATTTTTATAGAAGATTATCAACTGTGAAAAGTTGTAAATGCAACTACTTTAAGTAGTAAAATTAACTACAGTTATCAGTTGAACTGTGTCTGGAATGCCTTTAAGTATTAAGCAACTCATCGAAGCGGGCGAGCGTGGTTAGGTGGTTGGGTTATCGGTTTACGAATGTTAGGGTCGAGCGTTCAACTCCCGACGTTTAGAGATTTTTCTCTGTTAGGTATATAGACATTAAATAAATAAGGTATAGGTAAACAAAAGTGGGTAGGGGGAAATATAAAAAAATACAACTCGATAATATTTATAATAAATTATAAATAATTTTATTTTACCATTTTCAGTAGTTACTTTATTACTGAGTTATCTTAGTAACTTTAACTACATATCAGCAGTTAATTCTACTGCAAAACTGTCATTGGTTCCTATTTAACTAAGAAAAGTAGTTAATGCAACTGTATTATCACTTCATTCAACTAAATATCTGATAATTAATGTAAGTTCAAAATTATCTTTGGGGACTTATTGAACTAAGGAAAGTAGTTAAAAAGTAGTCAAATCTACTAAGAATTTTTTTCAGTGTAGAGTTGACTGTATTTGAATGTAAATTGACTCGACAGGAGAGTTTTATTATGTTTTATAAAAATGCGCTATATGACTCATGGATTGATGCGTTTGAAACCATGGTCAATACTATTCTGCTTCTATAGTACAAGCATTCAATCGACAATCCCATTCCTATGAGATTTAGCAACATCGGTATTTTGAGTTTTTTGCTTTTTGAAATATTTGGCAACAGAGGAATTGGAAAAGTTTATTACTTAGGTAAAAACGGTAATAAAATATCGTAGCGCGCAAGTATCATTAAGAGAAAACATACCTAATACAGATGTGCAAAAGCGCTAAAAGAGGTATGCATCGATGGTCAGGTAACAGAGTTTTCATCAACCATCTACTTGACATTTACTTTTACTACAATTTTAAAACATTTACACTACCGTCCGTGAGTATCAGGATGCCCCTTTTTCATGAGTGGAAAAATGCTTAAAACGTAGAAAATAATAATGACAAAAATTCAATCTCTATTCAATGTAGAATCTAAATTGATTAATAATATTGTGATATAAAGTTTTCCAAAAAAATTTGAAACTGTGAAAGTCGGATAAAAAAATTTTGAAAAACAGATTGACACTTTTTCAACAACAAAATTTTTTTAATTAAATAATTAAGTAATTAAAAAGCTTTTTTGAATTTTATTATATCTAGTAAATGAACATATTTTACATTGACCTTTTTGACAATTTAATATTCATGATAATTTTTTGAATTTTTTTAATTCTACTTTTACGGTTTCAAATTTTTTTTGGAAAAATTTATTTCACAATACCAGTTAATAATTTAGATTCTATATTAAATAGAGATTAAAATAAGACCAAGAGCGCTAATAAAAGTTAATTAGTTTTCGAGAAATTAAAAAATTACGAAAAGCATGCAAAATCCAGTATTTTTTCTGTATCTGACAGAATAGTTAACGAAAATTCTTCGATCAGGTGTCAGTCTTTTCATAATTTCATTAGTTTTCAGGAAAAAAATAAGAAAAATTTTTGTCATTCTTATTTTCTACGTTTTAAGCATTTTTCCACTCATGAAAAAACGGGCGTCCTGATACTCACGGACGACGGTAGTGTAGTTTCTCATACTCTTTCCAAAAACATAATTTCATGAATTATTAAAAATAAAATTAAGTTTATTGTTACTCCGTAACATGCCGACCCCCTTGAACGATATAAGTTCAAGAAAAATAATAAAGTTTATTCACACAGCATATCAATTTAAATGAAACGTGAAATGTGTCAATTACGTAAATTCATTACTTATCACATGTTACAAAAAATATCTCCTTTTTCTCGGTCAATTTATGATTACAACAATATTCGAAGTTGGACCTTTAGTCGATTGGAAGTGGATACAATTTTTTCAGAGCTCGTTTATATGTCCTTGTTGCACTCCGAATTGTTACCACTCTTACGACTCCGTCGTTCCCTGGGTGTGTGGCGACAATTTTTCCAAGAGACTACTTCATTGGTGGTAAATTGTCATCCTATATAACGACCAATGTCCCCATAGTGATATCATCCTGATTAGTGGATGACTGCCATTTACTTCTGGAAATAATTTCATTTAAATATTCGTGATGCCAACGATTCTAAGAGTGATGTCGCATTTGCTGTATAATTTGCCATGCGCTGAGACAACCAATTGGTAAATTGCGAAGATCTTCTTGTGAAATGCTAGTCATTGAACTACCAATCAGGAAATAAGCAGGAGACAATGGAGTAAAATCATTTGGATTAGAGGATAATGCGGTTAAAGGGCGAGAGTTTAATATTGCTTCAATCTCTACAACGTATGTATGTAATTGTTCATATGAAAGAAGCGACACACCAGCTGTCCGTGTAAAATGTTTTTTAAATGATTTAACAGCTGCTTCCCAAAGCCCACCAAAATGTGGAGCCCTGGGAGGATTAAATGTCCACGTAATACCTTTATTTGCAATGAAATTTTGCACTGTTTCATTTTTGATTGTGGAATCGATTTCTTCAAACAATTTCTTTAATTCGTTATCAGCTCCGACAAAATTAGTATTATTATCGGATCGAATTGTTTTGGACACTCCTCTTCGAGAGAAGAATCGTTTGAGACATGAAATAAATGCTTCGGTTGATAGATAGATCATTTACTTACTCTAAATGTACAGCCTTTGTTGCAAAACAAACAAAAACAGATACATAAGTTTTAATTTTGGTTCGATGTCTAAGACGAAATTCTTTTGTATAGAATGGACAACAAAAATCGACACCAACATTTAGAAACGGTCGAGGAAACGATACAAGATTTTTGGGTAAATTTTCCATTATGTAATTTGATTCTCGCGGTTTTGCTCGAAAACACTTTGTGCATTTTCTTATGATGTGGCGCGTTGCATTTCTACCATCTATCGGCCAATATGATTTTTGAACACCATACAATGTAGCACTAACCCCTGCATGCATTCTCTTCACATGTTCATTTTGAATAATAAGTTTTGTTACCGGGTGACTCTTTGGTAGCACAATGGGATGCTTTTGTGCTTCCGGAATCGTGGCGTTACTCAATCTTCCCCCTACTTTAATGATGCCTTCATTTAAAAATGGATTGAGGTCAACGAGAGAACTCTTTTTGGATAAGGGTTAATTTTTAGTTTAACTTTGTATTTCATTAGGAAATGTTTCTGCTTGTACCCATTTTACTATAGTCATCATAGCTTTTTCGAGTTCGCGAGGGGTGAGGAATTCTTTTTCTCTATCTTCGGAATTTTTAAGTTTGCAGGACGTAATAAACCGTTGACAATATGCAATAACGCGCTGTAGTTTTTGCACATTACTGTACCGTTTTAATAAATCATTAGAGAATTGTGTAATCATACCTAGAAACATCGGTTGAGCAGGCTTCAGATCAAGAATATCGAGGATCTGAAACTCCAATTGTGGCCATGTTTCTTTGTCTTTATTTAACCAGAGAGGACCAGTAGCCCACATGGTATTGCTTAGAAAATTTTCTGAACCTTGGCCGCGTGAAATCAAATCTGCGGGATTTTCTTTAGTAGGAACGTGTTTCCATTCTTTTGTGTGTGTTAAGGCTTGAATTTCTGTGATTCGATTAGCTACAAATGTTTTTAATTTATGAGGTGCAGTGTTAATCCAATTTAGAACAATGCTGAAATCGGTCCAAAAAATCGTTTTTCAAGAGGCAATTGCAGAGCTTTTTCAGTTGAAACTAATAATATTATTAGTAGGACAGCTGAACATAGCTCAAGCCTAGGTAAAGAAATTGTCTTTAAAGGAGCAACTCTTGATTTTGCACATATAAGGTTACAATAGTGACGCCCTAGTGTGTCAGTTGATTGAAGATTTATACATGCACCGTAAGCCTTCTCACTTGCATCACAAAAACCGTGCAATTGTAATTCAACGGAATTTTCAATACCTACAAACCTTGGGAATTTAATCTTGTTAAGAAGTGGTAGTTGTTTTGTGTATTCTTTCCAAAAGTGTACAATATCAGGTGGAACTTCTTCATCCCAGTCTAATTGCAATTTCCATAATTGCTGAATTAGAATTTTCCCAATGATAACGACTGGTCCCACTAGACCTAAAGGATCAAATAACTTCGAACACTGAGATAAGATACTTCGTTTTGTATAAATCTCGTTCGATTCGTTTTGATGAACAGTATATTTAATTGTATCCGACTTTGGATCCTAAAACAAACCCAATGTTTTAACAGTATCGGTAAGATCAAATGACATATAATTATCTGATGGATGATTTAAAAAATTTGTACACAAGCAGCCCGGTGACTTTTCTGGCTTAGCATGTAAAAAATAGTGTCAAGAGAACTGTTATGTGACACCAGACGGCGCCACTTATATTAAACAAATATTTAAAAACTTATTGTTATTTATTTTAATTGAAATGTCAAATAATTTCAATGTAAAATCTTTTAAAATTTAATTATTTCTAGAACTAGAATTATTCCAGCAATATGCCACGACATTGAAGCAATATTGGTAATGTTAAGGCAATGTTCTCAATATCGCTGTAATATTACGTGCTACTGGGGAATATTTAATAAAGTTATTCAGATGCTTTAATAATAAGTTTTAAAGAAAAATACTATATTAAAATTTTTTTTAAATGAATATTTAAATATTATTACATTTTTACGGCAATTAAAATGTTAAAATGTTTTCAATTTAACAACCTTTATAAACTTAATAATTCCTTAAAATTCTTATTATAACGCTTCTCATATTAAATTATTTTTAAAAATTTTTATTGAAATTCTTTATAAAATTAATTTTTATATATTTAAAAATAACTTTTAAACATAAAAAAATAAAATTATTTGAAATATAAAATTTATTTGAAAGAAATTGGAAAAAATTTCTTATTTTTTAAAATTTGAATGATTATTGTTATTCACTTGTCTGTCAGGAATTAAAATTTCAAAATACTTTGAATTTTAGAACATTTTGAAATTTAATTATTTCTAAACATTAAAATTATGCAATTCTTCTAAATCTTCAAATATTTTCTGAAATTTTAAATGGAATTCTTTTAGAAATCAATTCTTATCTAAAGGTTCTACAGAAATTAAATTATTTAAATACTAAAATAAATCCTGTAAAAATCTGTAATTGTCAAATTCTGGAGGAATTAATTTCATGAAAACACTAATCACATTTACAAACTTTGATATGAAAAATTTTGACTTTTGACATGACGATTTCACCTCTAACAAACAATTTGGAATCAGAAAGTCCTAATTTCACTTGAGTACAGAAAATTTATTATTATATAAATAATAATAATAATATATTTATTGTTCAACATTTCTGAACATTCAAACAAATGTAATATTTTTCCAAAATAAATATTTTTGTTTAATTTTGCTTCCTCGTGTAAGCACGTTTTTTTAAAATTTAATTTACTACAAATAACTATAATATATTATAATAATTTAATAAAAATATAAGACGATAAATGAATTTATGAAAATTCTTTATGAAATATGTTTATCTAACTAATTATTTCATTATTAATTATTAAATAAAAATTCAATACATTGTCAATGTCAAGTAATATAGGAACTATAGTAATGAAAATAAACATAAGCCTCTTGCATACGTGGCGCCACGTAGTGGTGAATAACGACATATTTACCTTGTTAAAGAGAGAGTGTCACCGGGCTGTACACATGTCAGGATGATTAGAAGCCCATTTTCTAAGGTTAAAACCTCCTTTTTCCAATAATTGAATTAAATCATTTCTGAGTTCCAATGCACCTTGGAAGGTTTGAGAGCCGGTCAGAAGATCATCGACATTGAAATCTCGTTTTAAAATCTTTGATGCAAGAGGAAATGTATTTTCTTCATCATCAGCAAGTTGACGAAGAGTACGAATTGCAAGATAAGGAGCACATGAAGTTTCGAAAGTGACCGTGTTGACAGTATGAATTTGTATAGGTTCTTCTAGTGAAAATCGCCACAATATTTTTTTAAATAATCTGTAATTTTCAGCGACTAGTATCTGACGATACATCTGCTGAATGTCAGCAGTAAGCGCATATGTAAATAATCGAAATCGAAGAACGATTGCAAAAAGATCATCCTGAAGTGTAGGACTAACTAACAGAGTATCGTTAAGAGAAATTCCTGTAGAAGACTTTGCTGAACTATCAAAAACAGGACGAGTTTTCGTCGTAATACTGTCTTCTTTAATGACAGCATGATGTGGGAGAAAATAACCAGGTTTCTGAGAATCATATATTTTTATAGGAGACATATGATCTGCTTCTATATAACCCTAAATACTATCACTGTATTGCGTTTTTAACTCAGGATTTTTTAAGAATTTTTTCTCAAGAGCATAAAATCTTTGAAATGCTAACTCACTTGATTTACCCAATGAATTTTTTTTCTCATTAAAAGGTAACTGAACTTCATAACGACCTGAGTCGAGACGTTTTATTGTATCCGTATAATGATTCTCTGCGGCTAGTTCCTCGGCAGAAAGAATTGTGCGTTTTTTATCTTCATTTATTTCCCACAAAATAGGAAGTTCTTCATACTTTATTAAATTGAAAACAATTTTATTTTTAGGGTTTCGTGGCCAAGAGCCAAAACCCTTATAGCGAGACTTCGGTGTCCGTCCGTAGTTTTTACGTCTTAAGTCTTATGTAATAACCCAGTAAAAAAAAGTATTCAGAATAGAGAAAAAGTATTGGTGGAGACGTTCGGTGAATGCGTTTTCGCGACAAAACCGTATTGGTGGGTTACGGTGAATACATTTTGCTTACCGTGAATACTTTTTTTTTAAACTCTCGATTTAAAGATTCCTAAGCAAAGTTGAGAATATTTATAAAGAGCGTAAGTGACCTGAAGTATAAAAATGACGATTGCGAGAAGGAAATAAGAAATTTTGAGAAAAAACGAAAAATTAAATGTGACAAACCTACAACGTATGATGATGAAAAGGAACATTGACGATACCGACAGAAACTTGAGAAATCCAAGTAAATGTATGTGAAACATTAAGTTCCGCCGGTAACGTCAAAGTTCCTTTTAATCATCATACGTTGTAGGCACAAAAAAGCATATGGTACTTGATCAACATTTGACAATCTTTTGTCACATTTAATTTTTCGTTTTTTCTCAAAATTTCTTATTTCCTTCTCGCAATAGTCATTTTTATACTTCAGGTCACTTACGCTCTTAATAAATATTCTCAACTTTGCTTAGGAATCTTTAAATCGAAAGTTAAAAAAAAAAGTATTCACGGTAAGCAAAATGTATTCACCGTAACCCACCAATACTTTTTCTCTATTCTGAATACTTTTTTTTTACTGGGAAGTCTTATAGCGAGACTTTGGTATAAGAAGGTCTTAAGTCCTAAGACCTAAGACTTAACTTCAGTATAAGAAGGTCTTAAGTCCTAAGATTTAACTTCGGTCTTAAGTCTTATGTCTTAAGTCTTAAAAGTCTTAAGTCTTAAGACAACATAACAACCGTTGCCATGGTGACCGTTACTATGTTAATGGTTGCAATAACAACCGTTGCTATGTTAATGGTTGACATAACAGCCGTGGCCGTTGCAACCGTTGATATAATAATGGTTGCCATTACAACTGTTACTATGATAATAAAAAAAATTTCAATCTTAAGTACAAAAAAATTTCTAAATAAATTATTATTTATTTATTTTTTTGTCATTTTAGGCCACGAAACCCTATGATGTAGGCGCATTGCGCCTGCTTCTCTGACTGATTTTTTGATTTACATTCTGATTTAGATTGATTTTGACTGGGTTTGATTCTTCCCGACAAAATCCACCCCAGATCGGTTTCTTGGAATACAGCTGTTTGATTTTTGACGCGAACTTGTCCGGTGGGTAATAACTGATAAAAGTATTCCGCTCCAATTAAAATATCTATCTCTCTCGAATCGTGGAATGAAGGAACTGCTAAAAAGATACCTTCAGGAACGTTTATAGAATTTATATCTATAGGAATGGAAGGCATTTAATCTGAAATTTCCTGAAAGATGAGAAATTTCATTAATAAACTAGAATTGTCATAGCGAGACTTGATTTGGCTAGATACTATATGAGAAATTTTTGATTGAAGATTCTCAACACCACGCAGTTTAATATCAATCTCGCTTTTGGAAAGACATAATTGTTTGGCAAACCTTTCAGTGATTGCATTGCACTGAGAGCAGGAATCTAAAAGAGCACGACAAGTGTGAAACCGGCCTTGACTATCTAAAATATCTATAATCGCTAGGGTGGTTCTTATTTGGGCGATGTTTCCAAATCTTTGGTCTCCTCCCAAAAAATTAATCAACACTGTAAAAAAATCTGGTGTAAAATAACACGAAACTTGTAATTTCACACATCAAAATTATAGGTTGTACGTAGTAAATTTATTTCGTTCCAAAAGTAGTTTTACTATTTTTAATAATTTTACATTATACGACTATGTAATTTAATAGTTTTGTGTAAATTTACTACGTCCGACGTAGGAAAATTTGATCACTATGTCCGACGTGGTATTTTTACATTGCGTGTATTTCTACACTTTGACGTAATATTACGTCGCACGATCTGTACAATTACATGGCGAATGTAATTTTCTTATTCCTTTAAGATTTTCAAAAAATTTTCAAGTTTTTATAAATAACTCTAAAAAAGTGTATATAATGTACATTTATAGAAAGTATATGCTAATTTATAAGTAAATAATAATATAACAAAAAGTTTTGGGCTATATTTCATAAATACAAAAAGTTACGACTGAAAATATTATTTCAAAAAATATTTGCAGGTTATGTAGATTACAGTCGGCGTGTAAAAATACCACGTCGGACATAGTGACCAAACTTTCCAACGTCGGACATAGTAAATTTACAGCAGATTTTTTTACAGTGAAGGTATAAAAAAAATTTTTTCTGAAAGCGACCCCAGAAACCCCTGAGTATTGAGTTTCAGTCCTATTGAACAACTTTTTATTTTTTATGTCCGCCATATTGGATCCGCCATTTTAAATTTTTTTCAAAATGACCTCAGATTCGTAATCAGCGACTCGAAAACCCCCAGTACCGAGTTTCGTCAAGTTTAAATGAATGAATAAATGTATACATCTAAGGGTTAATATATAGTCCTGTTTACTGTGATAGCGCCATATTCATCAAGCTTGTAAATGGAGTAAATACTTTCAAAAAAATTTGGAAAAATTGGAAGTTTTACCTCTTATCATGTACTAAAAGATCTTAAAGTTAGAGAATTCTAAATAAATTTGTATAAGCTAGAAAAAACTTTTTGTGATTTCCACGAAAAATTACATGTATTTTCCATTTAAAATTTCATTCGACTAGAGGCACGTGTTAATATTGTTCGATTTGCTTCAAACTTTCAGGAAAATTTTTTTTATACCTTGTTTAATTTTTTGGGGTGAGACCGAAGATTTGAAAACATCGCCCAAATAAGAACCACCTTAATAATCGCTGTCCCTAAAATTACTTGGGAAGACCTTTTGTCTTCGAAATTAAGGGGACATTCCAGTTCAAAATGTCAAAAAAATCGATTTTTTTTGTTTTTATTTTCGGATTTCTTATAGGGTCAATAATACTCTCCTAAAATATTATTGCAAAATTCGAAGTAAAACAAGTTATACATCCTTATTCTTCGCCATGTCAAAGATGTTTTTGTATGCGGATAAGCAATCGAATGATTTAAATGTTTTCTCATTTGCATTTTTTAAAAAAGACAAACAAAACTGTATTTGGTGTTGCTGATCACAAATTAGATATCAAATTTTCAAAATTCAAAATGGCGGATCCAATATGGCGGAAAAGAAAATTTTTTTATTTTAATTTTTTTTTCGTCCACCATATTGCATCCGCCATTTTCAATTTTGAAAAAATGATGTCAAATTCGTAATCAGCGACCCCAAACCCCCCCCCTGTAACGATTTTCAAGCAAATCCAATGAATTTGAAAAAAATGTCTGCCATATTGGATCCGCCATTTTGAATTTTAAAAATCTGATTCCATATTCGTAGTTAGCGACCTCAAAAACCCACGAGTAACGATTTTCAAGCACATCCGATAATTTTTTTAAAAAAATTCGAAACTTATGAACAAAAACTTTAAATGCGTTTTTCTCAAAATGTCGTTTTTTGATCTGGTAAGAGTGATATCTCGAGTTCTTCTGAAGCGATTTTAAAAAATCAAACTGCTTTTGATTCAGCGTCATCATGCCTATAAGTGGAACCTCAAAAACTGGAAAATTTCTAACTCCCCTTTTTTTATAAGAGAATAAAAAAAAACCTGAATAAAACACCTTTTTTTTTGCATATTATGGGGAAAAAGTACTCTTAAAAAAAGGGGGGGAAGAAAATTCCACTTTTTTGAGGTTCTACACCTAAGGAAATATCTAACAAAGAGAATGTCACTTCGTTTATGGTTTTATCTGTTTTAGAAAGTTTGGAATCGATCTTACCACCGAAAATGGGCATTTTCGAAAATGGCGTATATCGCCGCCATTTTGAAATAAAAATGAAAAATTTTTTTTTACAAATTCTTAAATAAATTATTTATTACATGTAAAAGAAATTTTTTAAATAAATGTCATAGTTATTTTAATAATATGAGGCATTCCATGTCAAGTGATCCAGGTGTCTTACGGTGTAATGCTTATTTCGATAATTTTTTACTCTTAAACTATTAAACATAAAAATTTGGCAAGGTACATTTTGGAAAGGTTTTTTCATGCTCTTTCGATTGAAAATAAGCATTTAAAAAAAAAAAAATTTTTGACCAAAAAAAAATCAAAATTAAAAATAAATTTTAATTTTTTGGAAAAAAGGTCCCATTTTTTTTTTTTTTTAAACGAAAGCTGAGGTTTTTTCCTAAAAGGACATATAAATGAAAAAGTGGGACAAGAATGTTTAAACATTGAAAAACAGAGGTTTCTACTCTCTAAACCCGGTTTTTAGCTCTGTTTACGAGAAAATTCATTTTTTCAATGTTTAAACATTCTTGTCCCACTTTTTCATTTATATGTCCTTTTAGGAAAAAACCTCAGCTTTCGTTTAAAAAAAAAAAATGGGACCTTTTTTCCAAAAAATTAAAATTTGTGACGCGATCTGAAGAAAGGGACCTTAGAAGCAAAAAATTATAGGTTATGTTTGCAATTTTTTAAATGAAAATACAAAAAAAGGATCAACTGTCAATATAAATCAATGAAGTTTAAGTCTTCATTAAAACTAAAATATTTAATAAACA